TTCCCTTGGGGAAGACAGCCTCGATAGACATAACCGCTACCGCCTTTTCCAACCATATTTTCTGAAACATGACATGCCCGAATGCTTGAGAATATGTTTTGTAACAAAACTACAAATTAACAAACACGAAGATAAGAAAGGAAACAAACCGGGTGCAAAGCCAGAGGTCGCTGAAAGAAGCTCTTGGTAGCTAAAAACTCTGCATGTCGATGAGTACCTTTTATGCAGACTTTCCAATTCCTCGGCAAAATTATCAAAGCCATTGCAAAGTGATAAACTTGACCATGAGATTTCAGAGCCAAACGAGACAATGGCGCCACTCTGACCATCCAACGTAGAGGAACCATCTTTGTCATTACAAGAATTAATCTGTCTCCCATCAGGATAGATAATGGCTGCAGATTGTTGCCTACCCTTAAATCTCAAAGCCCACCGAATTACTGACATCTTCCTACAAGAAGATCTCACGAGGGTCTCTGGTGGCGGTATAAAAACCCGACGTAAGAACGGCCATCTAGATTTCTTTTTAGGTGTATATATTGTCAAGCTGGATGTCGGGCTTGTATCTTCCTCGTGTGTTTGGATTGGCACCAACGCCAGTGAATTGTCCACCGTTTCTTCCGGTAATTGGGCAACAGAATTATCTAACATACCCGAATCTTCAACACTTTGACACTTCCTCCCATCCAAACTCCGTCTTGGGTTGTTATTCGTGCTTTCTCGACATGATTTTTTCGTGGCTTCTGTTCCTTTCTGCATTTTCTTTGATGATACATGACGATCAATGCCGAGCTGCTTTTTGTATAAACCATCGCCTGTACATATAAACACGAGAAAAACAGACAAGCAACGCTATCCATCAATCGAAGAAGGGACATATCATATAAGCTAGAAGTCAGATGAGGAGGAAGAGACACTGCACCATGTTCCAAACCATCAACTTCGAGAGAATCTCCTTCTCGTTGAAACACGATTCTGCCATTATCCACCGCTAAAACCGATAGTTTCTTCGGAAGTTTGGTGGCACAGTACTTGGCAACAGAGGCGGATGAACGTAAACAGTGCCGAGATTTTGACGTCCCCAAGATAAAAGTTGCAGCTCCACAGGAATTGGCTTCCGTTGCCAAAACCCTTCTAACAGATGCCCCTCTGCACACTTTCAACTTCAATTCCACCTGCAGAACGTGGAATTTGTTAACATTCCTCATAACCCCCTTTTCACAACACGTTAATTCTAATCTTAGTAATATTTTACACCGATTCTAGTCACGCCAATCTAGATCATTCCATCGATTTTCTCGGCAAGAAAACAGGAGAGTCAACCGTAGTTTTTTTTTTCTCACTCAATACCTAGAGCAAACGAGATTCAGACAGGTCTAGAACAGAATCTAACCTGCTTCAAGTTACAGAATCCTTCATACACACGAAGCATAGCCTCGAAAGACTTCACCACAGAGAGGAGCGAAGCAGAGTTTTCTGCAAAATTCAGAATTTTGACGTCAGAAAACCATTAAACCTCCAAAGGGCAAACTACCCGGGTATCAACTGAAGCATGAGAGAGCGACGGAATCATCACCCGGGACGGAATCGACGACGTGAAGTGCAATGACACGGTCTCCGGAATTTGCTACCTTGACGAGGGCCCAAGTAAGCAATTCTCTGCTCCGGCCGCCGAACTTCACCCCCACCACCACCGTCACCGGATTCTCTCCTCCTCCGCCGTCTCCGCCGCTGTCTCCGTCATCCTTCATCGCCGCCGCCGGTAACTCGACCTCGCCCTCTCTAAAGAAAGTGCCCGAGTGACAAAAAGATTTCCAAAAACGAAGAGCAAAGGTACGATTGCTTTGTCGGGTCCCTCACTATTTCTCTGTCTAAGTGAAGGGCCGAAGCATGTTTTTTTAGTTAACTGTCTCACGAATAAAAGAAAAGGAAAGAAAAATAAAAGAAAAGATCTCATCGATAGATTTTGACCGTTGATTTTTATGTGGGACCCATCACGTATCCATGAGATCGAACGGTGAGAGATGGGAATGTGGTGGTTACGGACAAAGAATGATTCGGTAACGAAACGGACGGCTGAGATTAAAAACAAGGGAATCCAACGGTGGCGGTCATAGGAAGTCTTCTTCCACGCCCTCGTAGAACTTTATTCCGAGCATCTAGACTTGGTCAATTTATAAATCGAGGAAATAAGATAAAATATTGTAATGTCACATCATTACATGAATAGTATAATAATCTTAAATTATACATCATTATTACACACTCCTAAATGAGCTAAATTAGCTATAGAAATTCACATAATGTTTGGTAAGAGAATAAACTTTGATATTACAAATAAAAAATAAATAATCCGATAACTAGAAAGAATATATGCTTAATCATGTCTTTGTAATCATATTTAGGTTTGGGATTATATAATAATATATTATATTCAAAAGAATAGAAGTCTAGGAGGAGACACAAAGGTTTTTTTAGGGTTAGATCTCCAAATTCATACGCAAAGAAAAGAATCACAATGGAAATATATAGGTGAAGAGGTTATTCAAAAGAATAATTTTCCTATTCAATAAATAAACATATTTAAAAAATTAAAACCATACAATAAATATATGTATATATATCCAATTATTTCATTGGAATACATAATATTTCAAATCGAAAAATATAAAAGATAGTAAAAATATTTTAAATTATACTAACCAATCAAATATTTATAGAAAATAACTTTAGATATAAATATCCCCCATATATATACACACGCATATATAATTTTTTTTAGTAAGTAGCTTTTTTTAATTCTTCAAATTCGGAATCAATCAAAAAGAAACTTTTGGTATTTTATTCAAAAATGGTATCATTACTGTTTTACTTTATAATTTAGTATATTATCTTTGGTTAATGGCTATATGTACGGTAGCATATTTAAACTTATACGTATTCAACTTCATGGTTATGAGAATATAGTTCTCCACTTATATATACATACATCTATCTATATAGATCAAATAATTAATTATAAAATTTGGGATAATAGAGAGAATTCAAAATATGTGAAGAACCAATATTTTGTTTCTACATTTGTATTTTTTTTATTACTGAATATATATATATATATATATATATTCAGTAAAATAATTTAAATCGCTAACATGAACGTCACGATTGTACCGTTGCAGAGTTTGTAATGTTCTGATATGCCTTCACATTCTGAAGACAGAACTCCTCCAGAGCCTCAAAGATCGGTCCGAAACCCTCTTGCAAGCTCGCCGAAACGGCGTCGTTCAATTCTCGAACCACTTTCTCGTGCCTCGCTCTCTCTTCCGCCATGGTTTGTCTCAACGCCGACAAATCTTGCCCGATTCCGCCCAGTTGCGTTATCCTCTTCTCGGCCGAGTCGCTCATCGGCAGTGTCCCTCCCCACACCTTCTGCAAGCTCCTCCTTTGCTTCTCTAACTCCTTCTCCACCTGCTCGGTCCTAACCCTTCTCCGCATTTCTTCCCTTTGCATCGCTTCCACGTCACGGAATCTCGACGCCAGTTCTTGAATGGCACTGCACGCTTTCGTTTCCGATACCCCTTCGATCTCTTGCCTCCAGTTCTCGCTCAACCTGAAAATCTCAGGAGCTCCAATGGCGGTTGGGGAGACATGGGCAGTATCCTCGTCTTGTTCTTGCATCATGTTGCGGAGGAGCCACTCGTTTACGAGCCTGACGAATGATTTCTGCGCAGAAACGTAATTTGTAAACGATGCTTCGTATTTCTTGATCTGTGCCACGAGTTTCTGCGTCGCCTTCATGCTTGGTTTCTTCTGAACCTCGGGTTCCACTATGTGAACACAAGATCTGCTTCTTGCCATCGCCCAAAACTGCTTGTGGTGACATTTCGCCAACGATTTCCACAGCTCTGTGAATCTGCACAGTCCAGCCATTATATCAAAAGCGATTTCCCGAATTCTTGGAATAGATTTGTAGTTGGAAAACAGAACAGAAGAGATAAAGGTAACGTCTTTTTTACTCTTGGATGATCTCAAGCAGCTGAAAGAGCATTTGTTCATCCCTTATCTTATGAACTCTTCTAGAGATTGATTCGACCACTCTGACGGAAACGTTGATCTTCGAGAGCAGCCCTTTCACTGAAGCTTCCGCAGCTTCGATCGCAGCCGATTCCGCCCCTCTATGGTATAGATTCTTCAGAATCTTGTACTCTTTGTCATACAAATCCCGGAGTTTCTCTTCCTCCTGAAAATCAAAACTCAGTACATTGGAGAATGTTCATCTGAATAGCTTATCCGAGATTCCGTGCTGACATGATCCGATCGCTCACCATAACTTCTTTGAGAAGTTTATCTTCCCAATTGTAGAGCATCTCCAAAGTCGCGGAGAGAAAATTAGACTTCGACTTAGGATCCTCTTCGCCTGTTCGCAGTGTTCGAGAACTTGAATTCGAACTGTTCAGATGCTTATGCTTGAAGTTCACAAAACTTAGGACGACCCTCGAAGCAAAATCTGGATAAAAAAGACGAACAAATCAATTTGAATGGACGAGAGAGCCAGATCGATTAACGGATCTGCATCTACACGATTTCTTACCCTTGAATTGAGCTCCTAATGATTGAGGATGAGGCAAGGTGCCAACCTCAAGCAAGGAAGAGACCCTTTCGCCACATCTGACCGTTGTCTCGAATAACTGATCGATCTCACTTACGATGTGCCTAAGGTCCTTCGAGCCTGATTCCTCCATACATGAACCGAGCGATCCTGAAGAACCATCCTCATCAGTGGGAAAACTCACAATTCCCCTTGAAAAAGAAAATTCACCCTCGTTTTCAGACATGGTTAGTGTGGATTCCACTGGCGAAACATGACTATGTTTTGCCTTCTTTTCATCTTCTTCCTCTGCTACTGTCGTTGTACTGTTCGGAGGATGTTCCTTAACATTCTTCTTCCTCTGTTTCCTCCTCTGGTTCGGATCAACAACTGGAGTTGTCTGGATTTCTTCTTCCAAGTCAGGAATACCCTCCCTCTCCCTCACCTCTCTCCATCCGTCATCGTCTTCATTATCATCTCGATCATCGTTTATATAATCGCAATTCACGTAATCTGTGACATTGAATACATCGAGAAAATCCCAAGTTGGAACCCTAGGCTGTGGAGGCGCAGCAGAAGATGATGGATTTTCTGCAGCAATTATTTCTTCACGAAAGAAACCGCCGCCGCCACTCGGCATCTCCATTGTCACACTCACGAATTCGTTCTTTACAAACCTAGAAACGTCATTGGACTTCCGAATACCCTCCTGAGAATTGTGCTTATCTTCATGACAATGATCTCGAACACCGTCGCTTGACACACAAGTATGGCTAACGTTTCGAGGCTTTGGGGGAAAGTGATCATGTTTCATCACGGGTACAAACCCATTGTTCCTGCTCGGACAGTTTGTGCCGCCGCAGCCGCCATGACTTCTCGCAGAAGCTCTCCGACAAGCCGAAGGTTCTGATCGGTAACAGACGGAATTGGCCGTTGAGCACAACAGAGAATCCGAACCGTCGGAGTCATAATCCGAAACGGAGCTCTCACCAGACGAATCGTCGTCATCAGAGGAAATCGGAATCACGATCAGTTCCTTCTGCACAAACTGATTCAGGGCATTGCCGAACTGTACGAGAGATCGAAAATACAATACGTGAGCTGTGGCCAAGTAATACCGAGCGCCTCTCGCCGCTTTGATCAGTTCCTTCCTCTCCTTGCAAAGATTCATCAATGGAGTTTTAGGGGTCTTCCAAGAACCAAGACCCATGTCTTCAACAAAACCCTAGAACCCAAAGAACCCTAAATTTCTAGCGATCTTAGTCTTTCCACATTGATTGATTTTGTAAACTGGTACCAACTTTGTTCATGGAGACCGTTGAAGTTGGAAAAGATCTGAACGGAAAAGTAAAAACAAGCTACAATTAGGG